GCATAGTGAATGGTATCAGTTTAAATTAGATTTAGGTTTGTTTCCTTTTTTCTCTTTTTTCCCATTCATTTCACTGGCTGCATTTTTATACTTTTCTTCATGTGGCATAACATTATTTACCCTGAAAAGAAATAGCATGGTGAGTGTATATGCATAATGATTGCAGTCATGTATTCAGTCAAATTAAAAATTGCATTTGGTGGCAGTTTTTGAGTCTGGATTTTTGGGACCATAGCTAATCCCAGAACCTCTTGGGTTGTATACCTGGGCTATAAACAGAGACATCTGTTTTTTAAAATATTTGTCAGGATGCGGTTATAAGGGAGGTAGTAAGATGTAAGTACATGTTTATTCCAAGAATTTTATATTGTTTCCAATTATTTTAAAAAATCCTAAAGTTGTTTACAACAGGCATGACAACATTAATAATACAGCAGGAAGAACTGAAACCAAAACCAAAATTAAAAGTGTTAGAAATATTATTAAAGAGAAAAGGCCAACACAGGTGATTTTTTAAAAAAATGACTAAAACATATCAGCTTTGGGAATTGTGGTTCCCCAGCAAGGAGATCATTCAGCAACATAGATGTCATTTCACAGAAGTTCACCACTGTGTCATCACCATGAAATCTACAAATATCATATTTCACTTTGGAATGTCAAGTAACATGTCTTGAATGAAAGTGTTTTCTCAGGAATCATAGCTTTATGTATACAGGAAGTCCTTGTTCAACAATCACTCATTCCACAACAGTTCAAAGTTACAATGGTGCTGAATTGGAAGACTTGGGACCTCGTAGTTGTGGCCATTACAGTGTCTCTGCGGTCACATGGTCATGATTTCGGTGCTTGGCAACTACCTCAAGATTATAGTTGCAGCATCTCATGATCATGTGATTATCATTTGCAACCTATATTGCCTATATTATGGCAAGCAAAGTGAATGGAAAAGCCCTCTGGAGATCAAAAATGGTAATCATATGATATCTAATGACGTAACAACAGTGACTGCAACTGCCACTGTAATTCAGCACACTCATATGACAAATTACAGTATGTGGCAAATCTACATGAGGTACTTTGGAAGGGCAAGAAAACAATTGAAAATGGAAGATTATTTAAGCCTTCTTTAAAAGGAACTTTACTTTGGTCCCACTTTATAATTTCTATACAGATAGTCCTTGACTTACAACCACAATTGAGCCCAAAATTTCTGTTGCTAAACAAAACATTTCTTAACAGAATAGAATAGTATTCTTTATTGGCCAAGTGTGATTGGACACACAAGGAATTTGTCTTTGGTGCATATACTCTCAGTGTACATAAGAAAAAAAATAAAATACATTCATCAAGAATCAAAAGATACAACACATAGTGGTAGTCATAGGTTACTAATAAGCAATCAAATCATACTAGGAAATAAATAAAACAATACAAATTATAAAGATACAAGCAACACAGTTATACTCATAAGTGGGAAGAGATAGGTAATAGGAAGGATGAGAAGAATAATAGTAATACTGTCTTACTAAGTAGTTTGACAGTGTTGAGAGAATTATTTGTTTAGCAGAGTGATGGCATTCAGGAAAAAAAACTGTCCTTATGTCTAGTTGTTTTTGTGTGCAGTGCCCTAAAGCGTCATTTTGAGGGTAAAAGTTGAATCAATTTATGTCCAGGATGTGAGAGGTCTGTAGATATTTTCACAGTGAGTTTTGTCCTATTTTATGACTTTTTGACTGTTGGGATGCTGCAAAGCTCTTAGGTACAAGAACAGGTTGTAAGTCACTTTTTTTAAGCACTGTTATAACTCGAAAGGTCATTGCATGAATGAATGTAAGTTGAAGATTACCTGTTTGTCTAAATTTCTGCATTTCATTTAGAACCTTGTTCAATACAACAATAAATTTCATAGGAAGTTTATTCAAATCATGTTAATTAGGGCAGAGATTGCAACCTCATGTAGCTACAATTTTTCTAGAACAGTGGTACTTAAATTGTTTGATTCTATTAGCCTCCCAGACACACGCAAAAAAGACTCTGTTGTTCTATACAAGTGTCTTGGCAGCAGTAGCCACAAAGTGGATCCTTGTAATTCCAAAGAATTAAAAATTGCTTCATATACCCCCTCCATATTCCCAAATTACTGCCAGTTTAAGGACCACCACCAATATGAGATGAAGCAGCCACATCTCGTTGTTTAGGATAGAGAAGATGAAGGTTGGTTGAAAGTAAGGAAGGAGATACCACAATCATCAGCGTACTATCCACTATAATGGCAAAGTTAAAAAGATAGTTCAGATAAGGGACTTAGTTGCATGAGCACTGATTTTTGCCATTCTGTTGCAGTACTGAGATTGTTGTCACTGCCAGAAATATATTTTGCTGCCCAAAATATATTGATGTTGGTTAAGGGCTATTATAAAAAACATGGAAATTCATGGGAGGAGTGTGATCCAGTCAGTTTCTCTCTCAGCCAACTTCTTTTCCTTGGCTGGAAGAAGAAAAAAAAGGGGAGATAAAAGTGCTATACGGAACCTAAACTCACACACACACACAAATAAATAAGAACTATAGACGCACTTCACAAGGGGAAACCTAAGCACACCACTTAATAGCATGGATAATGTATCTCTCGATGCACTTGGCTAGTTTATTTAACAAGTGCAAATTAACTTCAATTATTCATTATGCTCCTTTGTGCCAACCATTTCTGGCTTAACATATCCTGCAAAAGTGATATGTGTTACTTCTGCAAGTAATACGATCAATCATCATTTTTTCTCAATTAGCACATTTGTCTTATTGTCTTTACAATAACAGTGTTCTTATTCTGGATTACAGCCCTTGTATTTTCTATTTCAGTATGTAAAACCCCTTCCTAGGGTGCATAGCATTTGATTGCTTAACTGAATACAAATAGATCATGAGTTTATTGTAATAATGTATGTCTTAATTATTATACAAGCTGCATTTTGTATAAATTGCAACTATAGAGGTTTTTCATGTAAATTTACTTATATTTTTCTACTGTATCTTTAACTTAAACTGTCTTTAACCCAAAAATCACCCAGTAAACGTCTGAGATTACCCACAATGATTAACTGTGGCCTTTTCAGGGGCCCAAGAGATGTCATGCTATTCCATAAATATACCATGTGTTAAATCTGTAATCCTTCTTATAATGCTACTATAATTCCAAGCAATCTAGGCAGCCAGGCCCATTGTGAGAAATACAGAAGGGCCATATATCTATATACATCTATGAAATAGCACACAGTATAATTCCAACAGAGGACAAAGCAACAGCTGTTGCTGCCACTTCAATGGTGATCAAATTATATTTTTAAAAGAGACATAGAGCTGAAGACACATATTTTGGATTAATACAACAGTCTCTGAGTGCTTAGGAAGAAGCTGCCTCATCATTCTAATAATCAAAATAAAGTGTTTTTCTCATCATCACTTTAACATGGGATCAGAAAATTTTGATTTTCTGATTTTGAAGATTTTGAAAACCACAAGTATGATAAATTTTGGGGGATAATTGCTGAATTCCATTAAAGGAAATATTATTATGCCAACCAAGGAAATAAAAAATAGCAAAAAGTATAATTGTGCATCACTTTTATAGATCAACTAAACTAATGTGCAGGTGTGAAATTCTTCCAGAATTCTTCATCAGTCACAATGAAGGTAAATACAGTCAAAGAGAAGTGCTGCAGGTGATGGCTGACATTTAAGCCCATATTCAATTACCACTGTAATTAACCATAGGCATTAAATTCAGGCTGAATTAGGAGCTGAGCTGTTTTGTGATGTATCTAAAACTCTGCCAAGGGATCCTGGAATGACCCACCTTTTAAAAAATAATATAAATTCTGTTGTGTTGGTAGATCGGTCCCAAGAAGAGACGCGAGGCGAGTGACTTTTAGAAGCTCTTTTTATTGTAAGGTAGATCGGCTTGGCTGGCTTGGAGCGGCGGCGGCTTATATGGGTCTTGCACAGGGCGCCGCAGCCAATGACAGCCGTTCAAATCTCCCACGATTGGCTTGGCCAATCGTGGTTGCTTTGTAATGGCCAATCAGTGCTGCACACTCGACCAATCCGAGTGCTGTGCGTCTTAGCCAATCAGAACACAGGTTTACAAGAATGCAAATACAGAACACCCCTCCCCTCTTGGTTCGGTCCTACGTAACGTAGTCCCGTAAGTAGGCAGGGCTCTGTACTTGTCTACTGGACCTGTGCAGGTTAGTTGTCTCTTGGTCTCCGGCCGGTTCGGTCGGGGTCTGTGTTGCTCTCTGCCTCATCGATGGAACCGCCTGGAAGGGTGAGTCGGGCCTTTCGCCGTAGCTCCCTCCCGGTCTACCCGGGCTGGTCGAGCTGCTGGCTCCGTTGTTCCTGCCCGGACTTCCCGGGCTGGTTGAACTGGCTTGGCTGTACCTTCCAGGCAAGGCTTCGGGCTGGTAGTCTGTCGGTGGCTCCGCTGGTGAGTATTGCTGGTTTCTTTCTTGTTGGGTTTGTTTGTTTTGCGTTGTGGTGCTTCCCTCTCTTTCTTGGCTGCTGTTTGGGTTTCCCCTTCCCCCTATGGTTTCCGTGTCGGTTGTATTTCCCGTGTTAGTTCTCGATCTTAGCTGATCAATGTGTCTTTTCCATGCTCGTCCGTCGGTTGTTTGTAGCCAGTACGAGCGGGGACCTGTTACCTGGGTTATTGTTGCTGGTACCCAGAGTGGGTCCTCTGTGAGGTTCTTTGCGTATACGGTGTCGCCCGGTGCGAATGTTCGGTGCTTGCTAGATGAGTCGGGGGGTTTCCCCGGGTTGTACGTGGGGTGCAGCCTGTCTAGCGGGGACCTTAATTTCCTCCCCATTAATAGTTCTGCGGGGCTTTTGTTGGTTGTCGTGTTTGGAGTTATGTGTTGTATGAATAGCATTTTATTAATCTTTTCTTGTATTTCCCCGGTTTCAATTTTTTGGATTGTTTTTTTGGTAAATTGTACCATTCGTTCCGCCCTCCCATTCGCCGCCGGATGTGCTGGCGCTGTCAGCGCATGCCGTATTCCCTGTTCCGCTAGGAATTTTTCGAACGGTAGCGCAGTAAATTGGGGCCCGTTGTCAGATACAATTACATCTGGGAGGCCGTGGGTTGAGAATAGTTTGTTGAGTTCTTTGATAACGGCCTCTGTGGTAGTCGTTCTCATGTTGCTTACCTCCAGCCAGTTGGAGTAAGCGTCTGCCGTTATCAGGAACGTGTGTCCCTTTGTGGGCCCGGCGAAGTCTATGTGAATCCTGGACCATGGCCCTCTGGGGGTTTCCCATTCCAGGATTGGGGCAGCGGGAGGGCTCAGCCTGGATTCTTGGCATTGCCTGCACAATGCCACCCAGGCTTCGATTTCCTTGTCCATCCCTGGCCACCAAGCGTAACTTCTGGCCAGGGCTTTTGTTATAACGATGCCCGGGTGCCCTTCGTGTAACATGTCCAAAACCCTTTTCTGTAATTTCTCTGGGATAACCACCCTGTCCCCCCATAGTAAACATCCTTTTTGTGTAAAGAGTTCTGTTTGCCGGCTCTGGAAGGTCCTGACTTGTTCATCATCATCTTTTTCCGGCCACCCTTTCTCCACCCAGTTTAAAACCCGCGCCAGATGTTTGTCTTTATTGGTTTCCCGGGCAATGTCTGACGCGGTCAGGGGGAGATTGGGTAAGGTCTCTATGCTCAGGGTGGACGTGGCGGGTGCTGGGTCGGCGTCCAGGTCAGGCAACGGAGTGCGGCTCAAGGCATCTGCATGTGAGATTGTCTTACCGGGCCGATGGGTTAGCCGGTAATTGTAGGCGGCAAGGAATTCGGACCTTCTTGTCATTCTAGGGGATAGAATGTTCGGGGTGGCCCTGTCCCCTGCCAGAATCCCGAGCAGCGGTTTGTGATCGGTGATGATGGTGAAGGTTCTGCCGTAGAGGTACTCGTGGAACTTCTTTACGGCGGCGACGATTGCCAGGGCCTCCTTATCCAGCTGGCTGTAATTCCTTTCCGGTTTTGAGAGGGTTCTTGAAAAGAAGGCAATGGGCGCCTCTTTTCCATCAGGAAGAGTGTGGCTGAGGATGGCCCCGACGCCGAAGGGGGATGCATCGCATGTTACTGATAGCGGTAGGGTCTTGCTGTATTGCATGAGAACAGCGTCCAATGTGAGTAGGTCTTTTGTTCGGTTGAATTTCCTCTTGCCTTCCCCAGTTCCAGGTGGCTGTCTTGTCCAGCAGCCTATGCAACAGTTCCGCCGCAGTCGCCTTTTGGGGCAGGAAAACATTATAGAAGTTAATCAGTCCCAGAAACGCCTGCAGCTCGGTTCTATTCCTCGGTCTAGGGGTTTCCTTGATGGCCCTGATTTTTTTCCCCGTTGGGTGGATCCCGTGCTGGTCTAGGAGGTACCCTAGGAATTCGACTCTCTCGATGCACAGCTGGCATTTCTCTTTCTTGACTTTTAAACCCGAGTCTTTGAATTTTTGAAGCACCTCCCTCAGGTGGCTCTCCAGTTGTTTTTGGTTGGCCGCTGACACCAGCACGTCGTCAAAATAGGGCACTACCCCTTTGATACCTTGGAGTAGCCTCTTCATTAGGCTCTGGAAGACCCCTGGGGCTACGCTGACTCCAAACTGGAGCCTCTTGAAGCGGAAGGCCCTGCGGTGGGTGACTATGGTTTGCGCCTCTGCGGTTTCCGCGTCAACCAGCAATTGCTGGTACGCCTGTGCCAGGTCGAGTTTCACGAAAACCTTGCCTCCCCCCAGTGAGTGCAGAAGGTGCTGTACTATTGGGACGGGGTAAGCGCTTTGCTGTAGGGCGCGATTGAGGGTGGCCTTGTAGTCCCCACAGATTCTCACCGACCCATCTGGCTTTACTGGGGTGACTATGGGGGTCTCCCACCTGGCATGGTCTGTTGGCTCGAGTACCCCTTGCTCGATGAGTTTGTTTAACTGCTCATCAATCTTAGGTTTGAGTGCGAAGGGTACTCGCCGGGGTTTAAGGTGGATTGGGGCAATGTTAGGGTCTAGGTTGAAGGATATTGGGGCCCCTCGGTACTTGCCTAGGCTGCCGTCGAAGACCTCTTGGAAATCTTTTGCGAGCTGCTCCTCCCAGTCCGCCTCGGTGATGTGGTTGGTGCCCGTCACCTCTATTCCCAATGGTGCAAACCATTGTAGTCCCAAAAGGCTAGGGTGGTCCTTGTCCACGATGGTTAGGGGAAGTATTTCGGTGCGCCCTTTGAACGTGATTTTAAAGTGTCCAATTCCGACCACGGGGATGCGATTCCCCTGGTAGTCTTTGAGGATGAGCTTCTGGCTTTCCAGTTCGTGCCTATGGATGGTGGGCACCAGGCGCTTGATTTCCCGCCAAGCGACCATGGAGAGGTAGGATCCGGAACCCACTTCCATTTTGCATGGTCGGTCTTCAATGCCCACCTCCACGTGTACCTTCCGGGCGTCCCAGTTTGAAAAGTGGCCGATAACAACTGTTTGGTGGGTTTCTTCTCGTTGCCGAGCCTCGTTGAGACGCCTGTTTCTTCCATCCCAGCTCCATTGGCTCTCGGCGTGTCAGTCTCTGTTCCTGGGGGGGGTGCCGTCTCATCTCCGGGGGCTGCTGTCTCGACGCCGGGGACTATGGTTCCGCTTGAACCGGCACACCTTGGCGATGTGGCCCTGCTTGTCGCAGTGCTGGCAGATTGCGTCGAAGAACCGGCATTCCGACCGTGGATGGTCACCCCCACACCCGGCGCACTGGAACCCCGACTTACGACCTCGCCGCTCGCGCTGGTCTCGTTCCGCCTGGAGCTGGTGGATGTCTTCCTCTTCGTCCTCGGTGTCAGTGAGGGAGTCGAGATCGCCATGATGTGTGGTGGTGGTTGCTTGGTGGCTGGCTTCGGCGTGCTTCTCAGGGGCCGGGGCCGCCTCGGTTGTCACGGGCCGGTCCGCTGTGCTCGTTTGCCGCATCTGGGGCGCCGATTTCCTGGTCGCCTCCACTGCGGTTGCCTCGGCGAGAGCGTCAGTAAGGGATATGTCGCCCTTCGCCATTAGCCGGCTTTGCAGGATGGGGTCCTTGAGCCCAAGGACGACACGGTCTCGCAGGGCTTCATCCATGTCGGTGAAGCCGCACATGCCCCCGAGGTCCCGTAGATCAGCCACGAAGTTGCTGATGCTCTCACCCTCCTTCTGATCCCTCCGGTAGAAATCGTGCCGGCGGATGAGGGTTGGTACGGCAGGCGCATAGTGGCTTCGTAGTAGTGGCTCGAGGTCGGCCCAGTCCATCGCCTTTACATCGAGGGGCTTGGCGAGGGCTTTCGCCATCTTGAACACTGCGGGCCCACAGTGGGTCAGGAACATGGCCCTTTTTTTCTGTCCATTCGCATCCTTTAGGTTGCTGCTTTCTAGGAACATGAGGAATCTATCGATGTAAGATTCCCAGTCCTCTGCAGCCTGGCTGAAAGGTGCGGGTGGCGCAGTGCTGCTGGCCATGTTGCCGGTCGCCTTGCCGCAGTGCCACGTGCGGGGTGGGTCTTTGTTCAGTATCCCATCCTCGTCGCCAGTGTTGTGTTGGTAGATCGGTCCCAAGAAGAGACGCGAGGCGAGTGACTTTTAGAAGCTCTTTTTATTGTAAGGTAGATCGGCTTGGCTGGCTTGGAGCGGCGGCAGCTTATATGGGTCTTGCACAGGGCTCCGCAGCCAATGACAGCCGTTCAAATCTCCCGCGATCGGCTCGGCCAATCGCAGTTGCTTTGTAACGGCCAATCAGTGCTGCACACTCGACCAATCCGAGTGCTGTGCGTCTTAGCCAATCAGAACACAGGTTTACAAGAATGCAAATACAGAACAAATTCCAACTGGTATTCTCTTTGTATAAATGAAGACATTTTAAAAAATTCCTAAACTCCGATGAATGGTAGTGGCAAAGAAGCATTTTTTCTCTCTCTCTCTCTCTGGTGAATTTTATCAAGTGTGGTTTCATTTAGTCATGCAACCCTTTCCAAGAGATTTTTGATGAATAAGCAAGTAGCACATCCAAAGGAAATGAAATCTCACCTGCAATTCTTGTGAACTGTAAAGGTAGAGAAAAACTTGTTTAACCTCACTGGGAAATTCTGTGTAAACATGGAAATGTGCTGATATCAATCATATCACAGAATAAGTTGTTGGGCGAACATGAAATAAAGTTTAGCAGTTATCTTAAATTTTAGTAACCTTAGAAACACACACACTTTATATGTAAAGTGTGCATACACACATGCACACACATATATAAATACATGGGTGGTTTTCCTTTAATGAAAGTAAAGAATAACACACCTGCTTTAGCTTTTCTTCATTGCAAACTTAGATACTACTGGCTATGCTTAATTACATCATTCCTAGAAAAAGTCAAAACAAAACAGCAAGATTCAAAGCTGTCCTTGATCCAAAGTGCTCAAAGTCAAATGCAGTTGCACCAACAACAGATCTGCCCTAAAATGTTTACATTGAGTACAAAGAGGGGAAAGAGTATTAATTATATCAACTTTACTTTTTCAGTTCACCTGTCCTGGAATGCTCTGTATGTTTGAAGTTAATCAAGGTGAAAGGTATATATGTACATATTAGCTGTATGACCAGAAAGTTGTGGTTTTCTGTATCTTTTGAAAACAGGAACATTTACCAGCAAAAAAAAAATGTTTCCACAGAGTTTTTATCACCCTATGAATAATATCAAATATGAACAAGACATAATTAAATATCTACAGGTGACTTGGCTGAACTTTTAAATAATAAACAAGGTATTTTTCTCATAGTTCAAGAAAGTACTGACTTTGTCTACTTGCATGACATAATCTTGACATGCTGATTTTGCCCCATTGTCCCTCCCACTCAATTTGCAGTACTCCAAAACAGTTTAAATACAACTCTGCCCAAAATGTTTACTCACCTACAGCACGGGTGTCAAATTTGCTGTGTCACATTGATATCATGTGACATTTTGCGACATTTTTCCCATTCACGGAGCTGGGATGGGCATGGCCTGCGCATGGTGCATCCAGCCCATGGAACACCAGTTTGAACCCCTAGATTCTACAGCAGTGTAGATCTGGGGAAACAGCAGCTTTCCTTGATCAGTTTTTATTAAATCTTATACCAGTCATTTGGTTTTAAATTTTATTTCCTAGTACCTCTCAGCTTTTGGGATATTTGATTTCTTTTTATCATCTTGTTGATTGTGTTGTATTTCAAGTGAATGGAGAAATGATAAAGCAATGCAGCCATGGACTTTAACACTTCTGTTAAAAGGAAACTCTGGAAGATATTAGAGATGAGGTCAACTGTTTATTCAGTTAAGAGATGTTCTTTCTTCTGGGAAATAGCCAATGAATTGCTAGAGTTAGCCTGTATAAGGAAGTAAAGTGTTCCAACCAAAATTGACAGGCATGTTCAATAATTGGGAAATGGTACTTTAAAACGCAATAGAAAAGCACAACCAGAGGCCATTTCCCTGATAATTAGAGGATGAATGCAAGGTGACATTATTTTTTTTCTGTTTACAGATCATGGTTGCTGGCCTACTTTGGCAATGGTGCAAATGGGTAGTGTGTATAAACTCCAAGTCACTAACTCTATACAACAGAACTGAAAATCCATTAAAAATTTAAAACTGTGATTAAAAGCTAGGAAAGGGTAGCAAATTTCAACAACAATGAAGTCACTTCAGTATGTCACTCATCCCCTGGAGCCTCTAAGCTTGATAGCATGACCAGATTTTGAGAGTCTTCTGAAAAACCAACAGGAATTGAGTCAATCTCACTTTGTGTGGGAAGCGGGAGAGGGTCTTTCATAAGGTGAGCAGAAAAAGTCCACCTCTTGGGTCTTATCAAGTGTAGCCCCCTAGCAGACTGGACTTATTTATTTATTAAACAAAATTTAGATGCTGCCCATCTCAAAGATAGCATAGCATTCCTCTTCTGCTGGATCCGATGTGATGATCCTTACATCACCCATGGATTATATGGCAACCACATGCAACACAGAATTTGCTCAATGAGTATATCTCTATAATTACTCCCCTGGTTTATCACATATCTATATGAATACAACAATCTTCCTGCTGCACAGACACCAGGATTTTGGGTGGAGCAGTCAGGAAGTGGTGGACTTGTCCCTAGTTTCCTTTGTATAATTCTAATAAAGGAGGCTAAAGACCTAATAATACCAATGATAGTCCAAGTTATGAGGTATAGAACTAGCTTTTGTACCTGCACCTGCATTTTTCCAGTATTTAAATTGAGATGACTAGGCACAAGAAAAGGAATCTCTGAACAACAAGTTCAAGTCATGCTACACCTGTGTTGATCTTACTTCCTGCAAATTAGATACATCAAGATAATTTCCTCTCACTATACAGAGGTGGAGACCTCAACTGGAAACCCTAAAACCATTTGTTATTAAATTTGTTGTTGTTGTTTTAAAGCCCTTAACTCTACAAGGCTATGAGAAAGACGGAGTGCAAATCTAATGGAACAGGCTAATCTCAAGAAAGGTCTATTACATTCAAATTTGTCAGGTTTCATTACTTCCAGTACTTATCCTCAATGACAGTAATTTCCAAGATCATTTTATTATTCACTATATTCCAATGCTACACTGCTGATGACCCTGTTTCTTCAACAACAAAGATCACATTTTGCTGAACTCATAATTGGCTTGAAAGCCTAACAACTCTTACTCCTCCAGTCTAGTTCCAAATGGAAAAATTAGTAGTGTAAACTAATGCAGGTTTAGAAATCTGAAATAGGAACTCACCCTCCAACTTCTCTGTGCCATGCTCCTCACTATGCTAATCTTCAGAGAGAAGGAGCATTAATTTGTGTACTGCTCCATTATAGGGTCAGCTACAGGGCAACAGACTTACTATTCTGAACCTCTATCCTTCTGAGCTAGTCCTTTTATGCTCCATTTGGGAATAGCTGAAGAAGACGTGTTTGGTGTCGGATTTTGCTCATGCAAGAGTAGTCACTGAGTTGGTTGGTAGGATTAAACAGGATGATTATGAGTTTTGTCAAAAAATCAAAAAGAAAAGTATCAACCCATTCATAAGAAGACACAGATTTGTACAATATAGGAATGCATTCATTTGCCGATACTAATTTGCATATGTTTATTAAAAGTAAATTTTGAAAAAGTATTATTAAAAAGTACTATACCCTAATACATGAAGGGAAGTCACAGGGAAGATAGCACAGGGAGGATATTTCAGAGCCTTTGGCGAGATAACCTTTATGAGATAACCCAGGAGCAACACACAACACAGAGAGAGTAAGACAAAACCAATGGAGGAAAGTATGTTTTACTAGTGAGACAGCCAAACTTAAAATAAGGAGGAATTGCTTTACTGTGAGAGCTATTAAACAATGGAACTGCCTGCCTTGTGAAGTCATAGGGACTCCATCACTGAAAGTTTTCAAGAAAATGCTGGACAGCCATTTGTCTGGGATGGTATGAAAATTCCTGAGCAGGGAATTGGACTAGAAGACCTCCAACCTACTTTCCAATCCAAGCAATTATTTGATTCTTGGAGAAGGTTATGATTTGAGACAATCTGTTCAATCTGTGCCTGTTCATCTTGGATCGAGAGGGGATGATAACTAAATGAGCTACCTTGAGACTCTTGCTTTCTTTCCAATGATTCTTTATCTAGTTCACTTGTAGTATACAGCCCTTAAAAGACAGTATCCATTTCAATCAGCATGGCCAAATCACTGGGAACAATCAGCTTTATAATCCAAACAAAAGGGTGAAAGAAAGTTTAAATTGAGAATGCTTTTCAACAAACAGAGAACTGTCTTTCCCGAAAAAAGTAGGGCACACAATCTCCTGCATATTTACTTATATTAATTGCAGATGCAGGAGTTCCCTTTTAAGGAGGATTAAACTCTTTTCTCTCATGTATTGTATTTTTGCTTAGGCTGGCTTCACTTCAGCAGCAATTTAGTAAACAAAAAAAAAAAAAAAACCCCATCATGTTCTTAATATACAGCCTGACATTCTCAGTGATGTGTAGCTCTTGAGTTTTGGCAAGACAAAGGTTTAAAAAGATATTTTCTTGTGTTCACCACATTAACATTTGGAAATGATTGAAATATCTGCTTTTCTCACAAAATAATGTTTGCATAGTGGTTTCTTCACTCAGGTACTAAACAAAGCATACACACAAACATAAAGTCTGGGTTGTAGCATTAACCTTCACCCTCTTTCTTTAATTGTCTGTGAGAAATTATTTCAGTCATTCATCAGTGATGCAAAATCTGAGAATGTGAGAGTGTTGGACAAAGGAAAAATACCAGAATATATATTCATGTATGTTCAATTGTTTTTGTTATACTGCTTAGATCTAGTAATGTGAGGGTGGATAGTGGATATGCTGTCTCAGAAAAATTAATAATAGAAACAATAGATCAAGCAGGATATTTTTTCTTAATTTTATTACATTTTTGGAA